AGATAACTGATATGCCAATAAAATATAATAACCATATTAGTTAGTTACAATACAGTTATATGTATACATATATATTAGTAGGCTATATACATAACTGTATTGTACTAATATATAATATTGCTGAAGTGAACTAACCCTGGAACATAACCTGGTCCGGAGCAGGTTATCTTCAGAGAGCAAGTTGCTATGGTTACTTACATACCCTGAAAGTAACCTCTGATTTTGGAACTGAAAGCTGAGATTATCTGCTCGCTTATCCTCAAACATACACGGGTATGTCACATAACCTGCTTTTTGGAATACCCCCCTGATCTACCATATACCAACTATAAGTATGTATCTCTTTTAGGGTTAAATCATAACATATTTTCTTTTGCTTTTTTATTATTATTTTTTCTTTAAAAATTGCAGTCCTTTGGAATTACTGTTCAATGCTATTTTATTAGATTTACATGGGTTGTATGTAGAAATTTATCTTTTCAGCAAAACAAGCTGTTTAGTTAGCTGCAGAAGAAGCACATCATGTCATTATAAAACATATTGTTCCATAGTTATTTCTACTCCAATATGCAGTTCAACTTCTTAAACGTCTGCTATAAAGGAGATATACTCTTGCATAACCTCAATGGATAAATTATTAACCTCCAGATTCTCCACCTCAAGATACTCATCAAGATAATAGAGCAGCACTTTTAAATGTTTAACTCATTGCCATTAATGATATAAACCTATTATTCATTTACATATTTTAAGTTTTATTCAAGCATGCTAGTTTGTTTTATCTAGGAAACTTGAATCAATAAATATCTCCTATATATGCGGTATATTTACTGTCAAAATAATTGGTGTAAATTAAATTTTTATATTTAACAAATATATTACATGTATCTAACTCTGTGATTTGATATATTTCTCTTGTAGGCTAAATGATTGTGACTTAACAGACAAAAGCTGTCCAGCTCTGGCTACAGTTCTTGGATCAGATACCAATCTGAAAGAGCTGAATATGAACAATAATAATCTGCAGGATTCAGGAGTGAAGCTGCTCTGCACTGGACTGAAGAATATAAATTGCAAATTAGAGATACTGAGGTAAGTTTTGTGACAATCCCTAGAGTTTGGTTATAATGCAGATCCATCTGTTAACATGGACCTAGCTAATTTGCCAAAGAATTGAGGACAGAACTGCTTCAGCTCAGTGAAATTTGTTGGCTTTAATTCCAGCATGAACTCTACATTTAAGGTCCTACCACAGCATTTCAATGTGGTTTAAGAGTGGACTCAAAACTTTAATTAACTTGTTTTTCAATCATTTTGAGGTTGTTTGTATGTTGTGGATCATTTAGATTAAAGACTTTCACACCTTTTGAGTTTTAGATAATTGAAACCTTAAAGGGGTCATGTACTGCGTTTTTTTAATTATTTTATAATGTTCTCTGTGATGCACCTATAATGTTAGCATATAATTTAGATTAGGCTATTTTGTATCTGGGTTTTGACCCTCTCTGCAGAACAGTCTGTTTTTATAGATGAGGCACATTCAAGATGCTGAAGTGAACGCCCACTGCTATGATTGGCTAACAGTTTTGCATATTAATACAATACAATATTTATTTGTAAAGCACATTTAAAAACAACCAAAGTTGACCAAAGTGCTGTACAGAATAGAATAAAAATTCTGAAATAAAATGAAAAAAACAGGAATATCAAATTTAAAATAAAACAACAACAAAACAATTAAACCAATGATCAAGGGGTATTGAAAGCTAGAGAGAATAGATATGTCTTTAGAGCAGACTTAAAAGCAGAAATAGAGGGGGCTAATCTAATATGAAGAGGTAGACTGTTCCAGAGTTTCGGACCTGCAGTTGCAAAATCTCGATCACCTCATTTAAATCTAGATCAAGGCACGATGAGTAGACAGAAATCACTGGATCTCAATGTGTACGGATGGAGCAGCTCATCAGGTACTGAGGGGACAAATTATTGAGGGCTTTATAAACAAATAACATAATTTTAAAAGCAATTCAATATTTTATAGGTCTGCAGTGCAGATAAAATAAGAGTTACTGGCTCATACTTGCAGGTGCCAGAGAGTAGTCTAGCAGCTGTTTTGCACTAGCTGTAGAAGAGAGAGGGAAGACTGAGAAACACCGTGAATATCTGAATATCAATAGTCTAAATGAGTTGTTACAAAAGCATGGACCACCATTTGGATGTTACTCTGTGATAAGCACTTCAGAACTTCAGAAAGTTGACGGGATGAAAAAAGCATGATTTTACAACAGCACTGATCTGTTTGTCAAATTTTAAGTTATGATAAAACAGAACGTTCAGATTTCTTGCACATTGAGTTACATATGGGGCCAGAGAGCCACAGTCAACATCTAATACACAATTTTCCTTATTAAATTCCTTAAAAATAATTATTTCAGTTTTATTTTCATTTAAGTTAAAAAAAAAATACTTGAGAGCCAAAGCTTAAGTTCTTCTAAACAGGCCAACAGTGGCTGTAAGCCATTTTTATCATTGTGCTTTAAAGGAAAATAGATCTGAGTATCATCAGCATATAGATGAAAGGATACTTTATATTTGTTAAAAATGGAAGCCAGAGGAAACATGTACAGGGTGAACAATATCGGCCCGAGGATTGATCCCTGTGGAACTCCACAATTAAGAGGTATACAAGAGGAGGTTTGATGACCAATGCGAACACTAAAACATCTGTTGGTCAGATAAGAACGGAACCACTTGTAAAACTGTGCCAAGAAGACCCACAGATGTCTCCAAACGTGCCAACAGGACCTCATGGTCAACCAAATCAAAGGCAGCACTCAGATCTAATAAAACTAAAGCCATGGATTTCCAAGAATCAATTTCTCTAAAAATATCACTTGAGACTCTTAAAAGGGCAGATTCAGTACTGTGTAAAACTTTGAAGCTAGATTGAAACATGTCATGAACAGAATTAACAGCCAAATAAGATTGTAATTGAGTCAATACAACTTTCTCAATGATCTTTGAGATAAAGGGTAGATTAGAAATAGGACGACAAATTAGAAAGAGAAGAAGGATCCTGGTTTGGTTTTTTAAGATGTGGCATCACCACAGCACATTTAAGACTGTTAGGGAAGGAACCAGTAGACAAACATTTGTTAATAACAAATAACTGTGGACTGTGTCCATGATTTGCCTAAGGAAAAGAGATGGAATAATATCCTGAGGACAGTTAGTTGGTTTTAGGTGACCAACAGTTTCATTCCATGAGGTGAAATCAATAGGTTCAAACTCAGACCAGGTAGAAGAACATAATGGAACATCATGCAAAATGTATATTAAGTTAGACAGCTGGGATCTTAATGTTGTGATCTTCTCAACAAAAAACGTAAGTATTTTTTACTTAACTTAAGTATTTTTCTTACTATGTGTTTCCAGATCCCTACTATCACCACCACTCGCAAACCATGCATCACACACTGTAGGCAGTGCAATCCTAACAACCTGCGCACTTTGCCTATGTCTACTAATACACTACTTTCTTTTTCTATTGGTCTCTGGAATTGCCAGTCTGCTGTAAACAAAGCAGATTTTATTACTTCTGTTACAAGTCATTAAATACTAAACCTCATGGCCCTGACAGAGACGTGGATCAAACCAGAGGACAATGCTACACCTGCAGCACTCTCCAATAATTTCTCTTTTTCCCACTCTAACCCCCGTCTGACTGGAAGAGGTGAAGGTACTGGTTTGCTTATCTCTAATGATTGGAAATGTAATCCTTTACCATCTCTGAGTATCAACAGCTCCTTTGAATCACATTCAGCCACTATTACCCACCCTCTTAAAATCCATTTTATAGTTGTTTATCGACCCCCAGGACCATTAGGTAACAATTTCACCATCCAGTTAGGCTCATCAACCATAACTCCTTCAAAAACAGCTAGAAACCTTGGAGTTGTGATTGATGATAAGCTGAATTTCTCAGACCACATTGCTAAAACTGCCCGGTCCTGCAGATTTGCTTTATACAACATTAGGAAGATCAGGTCCTTTCTTTCAGAACATGCAACACAACTCCTTGTTCAAGCTCTTGTTCTGTCCAGGCTAGACTATTGCAATGCTCTCTTGGCAGGTCTTCCAGCCACTTCTATCAAACATCTACAATTAATCCAAAATGCCGCTACAAGATTAATCTTTAATGAGCCGAAAAGAACACGTCACACCTCTGTTCATCAATTTACACTGGCTACCAGTAGCTGCTCGCATTAAATTCAAGGTATTAATATTTGCCTACAAAACCACCACTGGCTCTGCACCCATTTACCTAAATTCATTACTTCAGAGTTATGTGCCCTCTAGAAGCTTATGTTCTGCTAGTGAGCGGCGTATTATTGTGCCATCTAAAAAAGGCACAAAATCACTTTCACAGACTTTTTCACTAACTGTTCCCTCCTGGTGGAATGACCTGCTCAAATCAATCCGAGCAGCTGAGTCCTTACTCATCTTCATGAAACGACTAAAAACACATCTGTTCCACCTTTATTTGACCCTCTAACTCTAACACTTTCTATTCTACTATAATTCTACTTTATCTATATTTATCTTTTTCATTTTTTTGTTCTTTATTTAAAAAAAAACCCAAAAAAACAACAAATAACAAACACTAGCTTTCTATTTTTTCTATTCTATCTACTTGTTTTCTTTGTTTGTGTGTGTGTTTGTGTGTGTGTGTGTGTGTGTGTGTGTGTATAATATATATGTATCTTATATGTATCTAACCGAGACTTGTCATTTGCACTTATATATTGTTGCTCTTTTGTTAGTTTAGACTGCTTTTATTGTTCTCATTTGTAAGTCGCTTTGGATAAAAGCGTCTGCTAAATGACTAAATGTAAATGTAAGTAGAGGGCTCTAGAAAAGAATGCAGAGAGGGAAATAAGACCAAGTTAATAGTAGAAAAAAGAACTTGAGGTTTGTGACAATTGTTTGTGATAAGTTCAGACAAATATTTGCTTTTTGCAACCTTTGCAGCTTTCTGAAACATGTTATAGGAGTTCCTCAAAACTTCATAAGAAACCTGCAATCTGTCCTCCTTCCATTTGCATTGAGCCTGTCTACAAGTCTGTCTCAGAGTATGCATAGCGTGCATGCCAGGGCACAGGTACAGGCTTATGATTTTTATACTTCAATGGGGCAATAGAATTCATGATGTCAGCACAAGTAGAGTTAAAAAGATTAAGATGTGCATCAGTGTCCAGATTAAGCAGAGTAGAGTCCAACTCCAATTAGTTGCAGGCTTCACGGTAGGCTACAGAAAAATCTTCTCTGGAATGTTGATTAAAAGAGCAAGTGAAGCATGCCAGCGATGGATTTCTCAGGATTCGGCCCGTAAGAGGGACAGTATAAAGAACTGGCCTGTGATGAGAAAAAGATGCACTACTGATTTAAATGTTTGAAACAGAAAAACCATGGGTTAAAATCAAATCAAGGGTATGACCATGGATATGTGTTGGACCAGAAACCTACTGAGTAAAAATCCTTAAAGACTTAAAAATCCTGCAGAATATGGTTAAGAAGCACAGAAAACATGAATGTTAAAATTGCCCAACAGCATTATTTTTTCATGCCTGGTAATCAAATCCACCATTAATCCAGCAAGTTTACTTAAAAAGTCTTTATTGTGGTGAGGAGGACTATATATTAGAGCTATAGTGATGGGGGTTACTAAGACTAACTGTAAAAGTTGCAACTCAAAACTGTTATATGAGCCAGTAGATAGAGAACGACAGTGAAAAGTGTGTTTAACAACAGTAGCAAGGCCACCCATGCGGCCCGATATACGACTATACTGGATGTGGAACAGATTGACATGACAAATCTCTGAGAGTAAACTGATGTCCAGTTCTATTTCTGACGTGCTCCAAGTGCTGGCGCTGCTTCTGACATGAAAGAGAAATGGATTGGCGACGCCACAATGTTCGTGACCGGTTTAGGTACGATGTTAGGATCACAAGGAAGGCAATGCAAAGACATATTGTAATCCTCGGAGGCATCTCTATGGTTTTGTTGATGGAGTAATCCTGTGTTTCTCTAGTATTTCCTCTCGTCCTATTACATGTGTGAATCAGTGGTCGGGGCTAAAGAGGTAATAATATAGAAACAGGCGTTGATCTTGATGTTCACATCTATGATGTTTTTATAGTATGTTGACCTGTTACATGTCAAAAGATCAAGGGAAATGTAATTTCTCAGTTCATGACCCCTTTCAGTAACCGTAAACTGAAGGATCTCAGGTGAGATGATGTGTAAAATATTAAAGGTCTTTTGGATTCAGTTGTACACTAAATTGCACAGTAAACTGAAAAGGAACAAAAATAATTCACTTTATGGATTAATGTTGTAAAGGTGATTCCTAAAAGAGCTCATTAATCTGTTGTATGTTACATTTACCTTTCAACATATTATTTAGTATTCGTTTAATGTTTGAATTAAATACTTTGGGTAACACTTTACAATAAGATTCATTAGTTAACTACTTTAGTTAACAT